TATCTCTCTCTATCTCTCTCTCTCTCTATCTCTCTCTCTCTCTCTATCTCTCTATCTCTCTCTCTATCTCTCTCTCTCGCTCTCTCTCTCTTCTCTATCTTAACTCTCTTTTGCTTGCTCTCATCTGATGTTTACGTGTCAAACCAGGGCCGTTTCATGTATATGTACTTACTTCTTTGGGGTGTTTTGTGTTTTGTGTTTTGTGTGCGTGTGTGTGTGTGTGTGTATCCTCTTGTGCACGGTGGCTCTGCAGGGTCAGTAGTCAGTCATCGACGGTGTTCTGCCCTCGCTGCGGTAATGATGCCCTGGTGCGTGTCATGATGAGAACAGACGAGGAAGGCAAGGTTATCTACGGCAACTTTGGCGCCAAATCTCTCAGCCAGCGCGGTGTACAGGTCAGTCTAACAACTGGCCACACTACTCTGCATTTTGTTCACTTGCTAGCTCCCAGTAGTCACACAATGCAGCCGGGATGTTATTCCCACATGTTTGTCCAGGCCGCGTGGATGCTCTGCGTATCTACACGCAATGACTATGTAACACACATTCCTAGCTGAAATCGTAGCTGAACCTTGTGAACGTTGCTTAGTGCAGGAGTGCAGGAGTGCAATTGAATGCTGATGGTCCTTATTGTCCTTTACCGGTAATATTGCCTGAACGTGTAGTTGTCTGGTTCTGATGTGCGGCCGCGTGTTGCCTATGACAACACAATACAGTGGAGGTAGGATATAACGACCTTGCATATAACGACAAATTGAGTTTGACGACACAATTCTGTTGCCCAAGTCGTTTAGTAAGCCCTTAGCGAAGATCGGGTTTAGTGACAGATCGAAAATAGTGACATTTTGTTCTCTCCCCAAGGAGTGTCGTTATATCCAATCTTCACTGTAAGTACCTCCCCGTTGCCCAGTAAAGTGTTGTATATGCTTACGCGAACGCAGAAAAAGGCTACAGAATGATGGATTTCGATAATGTCATGAGTACAAACGCCCATAGACCCTTTGCCCTCTGGAGCCTGCCGTAATGTATGGAATTTTCCCTCCAGCTGTCTTCATACGAGTGGTACAGGAAATTGGCTTGAACTGTGCTCCGCTGTTGGGATTTTCCCTCCAGCTACCTGATGAAAATGCTGTACAGTATTCGAATTTCGAAATCCATCTATAAACTTGTCCTCTTCACTCTCTGATTTAGAGATATCGATTAGCAAATGCATACTCTGTGTTCTCATCTGAGCACTCTGGCGATGAGTGACATTTTCAGATGTGTTTTTCGTCATGTATTCATGCCAGCCTTTGCTTGTGCACGCTGACGTATGTGTTTTTGTGCGTGTGGCGCGCGTGTGCGTGTGTGCGTGTGTGCGTGTTTTTCTCTTGCGTTACCTGTAGTATTCGCTGCCTCTACCCAAGGGTGGCCGCCACGCCGTCAACCCAATCGTCAATCCTGACCAAAGAGTCAGTTATCGGCCGCCTCGGTCACGCGATGCTCCGCTCAACGCCTTAGACCCGGACTATGTGGGTGGTGGGTCGCCGTTCGTAATGAACGACGTCACAAGTCGCGGCGTGAACATTGCTTTTAGGAATAAGAGTGGCCATGCTACACCACGAGCACCTGGTCAGCGGAGGACCAACCCCAATGCGAGTAGGCCACGCAAGAAGAAGTGATGAATTTTTTACTTCTCACCTGTAAATTGTACATATCGTAGTGCCCCCCCCCCCCCTCAAATATTCATTGGTTGAGGGTGCCCCCCCCCCCCTTCATTTTGTAAATTTCTTTTTTCTCCCCCCAGCATTCTGTATATCCCTGGTCCATATAATAACCATGTCTGTACATACCCCCCCCCCCCCCCCCGATTTTTGTACATATTCATTCTCCTACCCATGGCCATGTACATAGCCATTTGTTCCCCAGATCGGTGCACAAAATATTCATTTGGGCTTATGAATATTACCTACTTGAGTACATTTGGCGGAAATGGAGTGAAAAAGGGCTTTCCGTACAGAAAAGAGAAATTCATGATATTCACTGGTACGACGACACTATGCGTGCAGGCATAAAGTATAAAATTATTTACTGCATTGCTAAAACTGTCTGCATAGAAACAATAGCTGAGAAATAGAACAATGGCTGAGAGGTGTGTGCGACTGAGGAAATACAGCATACAGCATTGGAATACAGCATTTAAATATCGCGAGTACAGACCAGGGAGCAGGAGCAGCAGAATGCTATATGCGGTAATTAATGCAAATAGTCGACGCGGAGACAGCAATTTTAAAACGGCAATACAGAGAACAAATTCTGCCGTCATCAACAAAGTCATGAAAGCTTTCCTAAATCGATTTTCCTGTCACAATGATTCAGTGGAATGTCGTGACTGAAGGGTATGCGTGCTGAACAATGTTTCCAGTAACATTTTCAGAAGACTACTACACACTTTCTTCCCCGAATAAAAGTCGCGTCTTTTTACACCAAAATTCAAGGGTGAAAAAGGGGGTGCAACTCACGAGCATGACTTGCTGCTGAAGTGAATATGGCTCAAACCTGAAAACGGGGGTGCTAATCGTGTGCGGGAATACAGTACACTTTCTTTCTTTTGCAGGGGTGGAAGAAATCCTAGCTATGCCACTACACGTTCAATAAAATTAATGCTCTTTGCAAATAATAAGTGGTCAGGTCACATCCGCTGACGTGCATGACTGTAATGAAAATGAAAGGGTGCCCAGTTTCGAGTTAGTACTAATAATTGGCACTGCGTTGTGAAGTTCCAGACCTGCTCGGCACAATGATTATTAGCCCAGCCCCACAGCCAGAGTGTGGGTCCCTGGCCAGTGTTGGTCCGTGGCCAGTGGGCGTCCGTGGCAAGTGTGGCTCTGCCAAGTTCACATGCCCCGGGTGGGCCCAGTACCACCAACATCGGCTTCTACCTGTTACTCTGTCGTGTTCGGAAACAAGATTATGACGGCTTGGAAGAGATGCCAGTAGGCTAGGTATTGCCAGGGATGTCAGCAGTCTTCCCTGACTGACTAAGTGAGGTCAGCCCCGTCCCCGTGAAGTTGCCGTATGCCATCAGCAGCATGAAGCAACCAAGTACCACTGTCTCTGACGTTTAGATTCCATTACTGTATGTCAGTGCTTGTAAAGCCATGCTGGAGGAGAGAAAGCAGCAGCTTTGCCTGGCCTCAGTGTAGTCTTGTCAGGGTTGAGGTTATCAGTCTGGATATTCACACAAAACAGAAGAGCATAATTCAGCTCAGTGCTGTCACCAACCCCATCTTGTCAGGCATTGCGTTTGGGTCAAAGGGAATCTCCTTGTCATACAAACAAGTTGCTGGTTGTACTTATCTTATGAAACTTCACCAAAACTGTCTCTTTACTGCGGTTCAATTAATATTACACCACATTTTTCGGTCCTGGACCATCATCAGGGTTCTTACTAGAATCAAAAAATGACCAAAAATGGTGGCATGGCTATAGGCCTACATGGCTGTGCTGCATGTTTCAGACCTGGCACTGCAAAGAGCAGGCCTTGGCCAGACCCCATGCACCAGTCCAGTATTGTACCAGTGTTAGGGATACAGCAGTATCATCATCAGCAACAGCAGCACACGCACTGTTCAATAAGCAAATAATTGAACGCTTCCTTCTTCTCCTACTGACACCGGCTCTATTCGGGCAGCTGATATTCATAGCAGAGTGGTTGTCAGCTGACTAACCTCCTTTTCTGCGACTATGAAAACAAAGAATTCAAAAATTGTAATATGCAGCCATACGCAGTGAAACTCAGAGTTGTAACAAAGCTTCCAATCTCTCTCTTGTGTATGAAAATTGTGTATGAAGTCTGAACTCAAAACTAGTCTGAAAACCAATCTTACACCGTGTCTCATACACTCCTTCCTTCTTTCTCTGCATCTTTTCACATCTCCATTCCATTCAGCCATTGTCTATCTTTGCACATACATTCCAGAGTACCCATCACCAATCAGAGCAGTTCCCTGCCCGCATTTTGTCTCAATGCAGAATTGAACCTCTCACATGGTATGTGTACCACAACATCATCCGGTGTATCAAAAGCCAAAACACACTCTCACAAGTGTGTGTACAATGCTGGTCTATGAATGCATCAGAAAAATCACCGGAAACAAACCTGGTTGATGTCCTCACAGAGTGTGAAGAGATCATAGCTTGTAATCTACAGGTGATGATGTCATCATATGCACACATTACTTGGGATACTGCTAAACATTCCAATATGATTCTTTATCTAGACCGGCTCGCGTTGTACATTTAAACCATCCGTTAGTTCCCTTCAATGACATCAACTGCATAACCTTCATAAACTTTCCTCCGATCAAGCGGATGTATTTAAAACTATGTTACACACCTCATTTCGACTAGATCAACACCACACCAGCCACAGTTTACAAACCTTTCCCTTACCACCCGGCTGCTATTGTTCCCATGCTGAACCCTGTCGAAATGGCTATCTTGAACAGATTCCTGTCCAGACCTGGCATGGAATGTGTGCAAACGTTACACGGTGGGTAATACCGTACTCAAAATTCGCTCTCATCAGCCAGCAAACAGAGAACCAATTTACTGCGTCAATAGTGCTTACAATATTATTCCCTCTCGGAAATGACCACCACTAGAAGTTGAAATAACTCCGCAGGAAAGACATCTGCCAGATTCAAACACAAAGTACAGTGAAAAGTACATCAACTTGACATGGTATGATTTCCGTAGTATAAGTCATACTAGACCGTATTTGTCGGAGAATAGTGCGCACTTTAGATGCACTATTTAAGCCTCCAAACCACAGTTTTCAAAGCGAATACGAAAATGCATTCACTTTAATAAAACTAGTGTTATCCATCAAACTGTTGGGATATGGCTTTAATATTTTAAGCAAAGTTCAGATACACATTTATCAATGCGATTAATAGTATTAGTGAAGCGGACATTACAAAATGATGAATGAGAATACATGTATCTAAAATGGTTGTTCCTAATCGATTTTCTTGAGACTAACATCAGGGAAAATCGTCTCACAATAGAGGCTATACGGAGAAACAAACTACTTATAGGTTATTGGATAGTGGGAAGTATACAAGGTGAGGTGTGGAAAAAAACTAAAGTGGGAAAGAAGACGAAAGAAATTAGAAGAAAAGATGTGAGAGTGTTCCCGACGGTGTGAGCTACTACATAAGGTGAGTGAAATGAAGGCGTGGAAGCAGGTGAATGTGATAGAGTGAGGAACTGTGAGATGTAGGTGCACATAACCTTACATTCCTCACACAATGTTTAGAGTATACATGTATTCTCATTCATCATTTTGTAATGTCCGCTTCACTAATACTATTAATCGCATTGATAAAGTTATTGTCTCCTCGTCGCCTTTTCAGATACACAGATCATCTTTTCAAACAACATGTCATTATTAAGGCTCAATAGGACCCGTGTTGCTTCAGATATGTCTACTGTATGGAAAGACTACAGACTACTTCAGGCACAATAATCATCATTAGCAACCGTTATAAATGTATACACCTCCATACATATCACTCACTCTTCTTTCAATGCATACATTCCCAATGATCAAAACAAAAAGAAAGTGGCTGAGAACTGGACAATTCACATCTCAATGGCTGTTAACTAAGGCCATCAGAAATACTGAATCACCTAGTTAGCAATTCAATGCAATGGCAACCATCCGGTTGTGAACAGAGAGAAAAGCTTTTGCGGAAGGACACAAAGTTTGTTGATCAGTGACAGCCAATATGGCTACAGTTTTGCAGAATTTACGCATCTGACCAACAATAGAATGATAAAATCATTTTGTCTTTTTTCAAAGCATACCGTAGTGACCCACATAATGCCCATGCCCTTATGAGTGAGTTCTTGCGTTATTTGCTAATTATTGCGGGTTGTTTTGTCTCACACATAGGCGCATGCGCCTGAGTTGCTAGTGTACCGGTACCTTGCATAAGTATGCACATTGTACTGTACTGCAATGCACATTGAACTATGTGAACATGGTGTTTTTGTGGTGTCTATGTGTCGCGGGATGTACTGCATTTAGGTTCACTTATAAGCCCAGGCGCTAATTTTGAGGGTTGCTCTTATGCCCAGGCATAGGCACATGTGCTTATATGCGCGTCACTACGGTAGCCGCCAATCTTCCCTAATTTTGTCCTACATTCTGTCTACAACCTTTTCTCAATACATGCGTCAGAACAGATAGCCATATCATCACAGGACAGCACAACACATGGCTATCCTGAATACCAAGAGTAGATAAACAAGAGTGTGCAACTCCGGATCTCTCCTGCACAATCTGCAGATACCCTGCGCCCATGGCGGAATTTTTTGTTTACGTCACCTTTTTTCAGAGAAACGCGGATTTTGCCGCAGAGCAGTGCGAGAGCACGTGCTAGGCACCGACCTTGTAGTGTAAAGCCCAGCCAAGTGCACGAGGGAAAACTCTCCAAAAGGCTCGCAGCGCGTGCGTCGTCGAAAAGATTACGTCAACAAAAAAAATTCCGCCGTGGGCCAACCCATCCGCGAGTTGCACACTCTTGTTTATCTACTCTTGTGAATACCTATAGCCACCTCTATTCATCATATTCATGCAAGACCCGACCGCACTGATCTTCAAATAACTAAGACAGTGATGCACTTGCCTTGCAATTCTGTATGGTCTCTTGTTACTGATGCTGGAGGCATGTTGAATTGTATCTGTACAGAAAATAATGGAAAGTCGAAAAATTAGAGACCCACTTTTCAAAAATCATTCATCATCCACCTTTTTGGGCGCGTTTTGGAAGAATGTTGCTCTTTGCTCATGGCCCAGGCCAGCAATCATACCACGGACGTTACAACAACTCCTAGATGTCCGTGTTCCCTGGCCATGCTCACAGTTAGAGCCAAAAACACACTCTTTGCTCACTACAAACCCACATGCAACACCACATAGAGCAACAGAGAGCAGAGCTCGTGTTTTACTTTAACTCAGTTCACGTAT